TCTCTCTCTCTCTCACACACACACACACACACACACATCAGGGCTGCCTTCAACAGCCTCCCTCTAATGTCAATCTGTTCACCGTGCCGAGTTCTGGAAGGCGCCCGGGGTAGTTGGTGTCGCGAACGGTGGTCCCTGGGGCACCAGGCCACCCCAGGTATATCAAGTGGCCTTACCCCAGCAGCCGCAGTTCTGCGGGGGTGGACTGTTGTTACATCCCTAGGTACTCGTGGGAACAAAATGGAGGACAAACACAAAACAAAACTGAAGGAGATCATGGAGAAATGAGCGGCAGCATGCCGAACAAGCAGGAGTTGATGCAAATACAGCGATGAAGAGGACGCTGTCATGGGACCGGCTTGACCGGCTCATCACCGAGCTATATAATTTTGCCAACCCTAAGCCAAACGTTGATAAGGAGATTAACGCGAAATTAGCGGCTATCGCAACCGCTTATAGAAGACTGAAAGAGGCAGACATGGCTAGGCCAAGGCAAAAAAGCCCTCAGCATCTCTTGACACCAGTCGTAGTACGGACGTCTGCAACGCCATCGCACACTCGTACTCTTTCTGAGACGACGACGAAAGACACCGAGGTGGAAGTGTGCGAAACCCTAACGCCTAATTTCCGGGACACCGTCACGGGAAGGCGGCGGAAGCGCACCTCTCCCAAAGTGGACGCTAAATCTTCGAAGAAGCGGAAGGAGCAGGTAGCACCATCGCCGCCCAAATGGAGAACTCAGCTTCCCAAGACGTCGGAGTGGCAGGAAACCAAAAGGAAGAAGAACAAGAGGAAGAAGCAGCCTACAGAGCAGGCCCCTCGGCAGAGGGAATGTACGGCAAGGCCTGACGCGCTGATCATCCGCCCAAAGGACAAAGGGTCATACTCTGATATCCTCAAGCGAATGAAGCAGGACGCGACAGCTCGTGAGTCCCAACAGTGCGTGGAAAAAATCCGAAAGATGGCTACGGCTGACATGTTCATTACCCTCTCGAAGGAGCACAGCGACTAAGCTCCAGGCCTGCAGAATGTCATCTCTGTACTCTTTGGAGATGATGTGCAGGTTCTCAGTAAGACACCGGAAGAGGATATCGAAATCAAGGTCCTCGAAGAGACAGCAACGAAGGAAGAAATCTTCGAAGCTTTGCATAAGACTGCCGGAGAAAGTTGCAGAATTTCGCTAAACGCGGTCAAGTCACTGCGAAAGGCATACGGAGTTACCTTGAGGGCCTGTATGTGACTGCCAGTCGCGACTATGAAGAAAATTGTCGGAGAACACGGCAAGATTAATATCGGGTGGGTAAACTGCCGGGTCAGAAGAGTGGAGAGACTCCTGAAGTGCTTCAAGTGCTGGGACTTCAGGCATCTTACCAATAAGTGCAATAGCTCGGTTGACCGATCCAAAAACTGTATCAAATGCGGTGAGCATGTTCGTCTGGTGGCAAAATGCAAGAAAGATGCCAAATGCGTCCTCTGCGTCGCAAAGGGTCGCATAGACAACAGTGCGCATGTTGCTGGCAGCGGTAGATGCCAAGCATACAAAGAGGCCCTCCAGACGTTGACGCCGTCCAAAAATCGACGATGAGAATACTTCAGCTTAACCTCAACCACTGTGAGGCTGCACACGACCTGCTTACACAGTCGGTACGGGCGCTGAAGCCCGATCCCGTAATTATTTGGGAGCCGTACAAATATCTGCATGATCAGCCATGGGAGACGGACACCACTGCCCAGGCCGTTATTTGGTCCTGAGCTAAATACCCCTTCCAGAGTGACGTCAATACTGCACAGAGCGGCTTTGTGAGAGCTAAGCTGGGTGGAGTTCACTTCTACAGCTGCTATGCTCCGCCTAGCCTATCCATCGACGAGTTTACAGAGTTCCTGGATCTATTGACCGATGACGCGAAGCAGCACTTCCCCATAGCAATCGCTGGGGACTTCAACTCCTGTGCAGTCGACTGGGGCAACAAGGAGACAAACACGAGGGGACAAACGCTACTAGAGGCCATGTCTTTCTTGGACGTGGTATTGCTGAACAGTGGCGAAAAACTAACTTTTAAGAGAGGAGGGGCTAGTTCAATCGTAGACCTCACCTTCGTAAGTAGCAGCCTCGCCAGGGGAAATTGCAACTGGGAGGTGATGGATATCTACACCGCTAGTGACCACTACACGATTTCCTGGAAAGTATCCACCGTTCGGAAAACTGGATCTTCAGCCAACACGACCAACGCGGTTGGACGGAAGTCGAACACCCTTGACTCCAACTTACTCCGTGAAATATTCGACGATCTCCCGATCCGAGGAAGCAACTCCACGGAGAAAGTGGGGGAATTTATGCGTAGAGTCACCGAAGCGTGCGATGCAACTATGCCCCGGAAGCGTAGTACAAGCAAACATCCATCGGTGTACTGGTGGAACAACGATAGGAGGAGGTAAGCACAACGAGGCCGGACGAAGCCAAACTCTAAAGAACTGGAGATCAAGTATAAGGAGTCACACCGGACACTCAATAAGGCGATCAAGGAAAGTAAGAGACAGGCATGGAATGAGCTCCTTGACGAAGTCGAAGTGGACTCGTGGGGGCGACCCTACTGTGTGGTCATGAAGAGGTTGAGAAGCCAGCCGATGCTGTCGCCTACGTGCCCTGAGCTTTTGGAGAAAATCGTAACGGTGCTGTTTCCACAACAACCGGAGCTCGACTTCTTCACTGAGAAGTGCGATGCAGAGGCGATCTCACCAGTGACATTTGAGCAGCTGCTGGAAGCTTGTGGCAGATTCGGGAATGCCAAAGCACAAGGAATGGATGGAATCTCGAATACCGCCCTGAAAGTGGTAATTAACGCAGCCGCAGAAGCCTTCCTGAGTGTCTATAATGCGTGTCTTCAGGAGGGGATATTTCCAACCAAGTGGAAGCAAAAGAGACTGGTGCTCCTTCCGAAAGGCAAGAAGTCACCGGACGAACCCTCATCCTATCGTTCACTCTGCATGCTGGACACAGCCGGAAAAATACTGAAGCGCATACTTCCCCAGAGGTTCGAGGAAGTGGTCGACCCACAATTTGCTGACAACCAATACAGTTTTCGTAGAGATCGTTCCACGCTTGATGCCATCAACCTAGGCGTCTGCATTGCACGGGACGCAATCTCTGGCACGAGGTGGAAATGGGGCGCGAAGCAGTACTGTTTGGTGTGGCCCTCTCTTGTAGAACGTTATGTACGACGGTCTTCTGAAGTTAGCGATATCCTAAGAGGCTACACTCATCGCGGTTGTGGATTATTTAGCTCTGGTAATTGTTGCAAATCGCCTGGAGGAGATCAATTATATTTTCGATATTGCATAGGACAGAATTCGTCAATGGATGGACTCAGTGGGACTGATGCTGGCAGAACAGAAAACTCAGTCTGTGTTTATCAGGAGTCGACAGAAGATCGAAACCATCACGCTGCATGTCAGAAATCATGACATCACCTCCTAACCATCGCTACGGTACCGATGGCAGTTGCTGTGGGATGCCTCGACCAATGGGAGATGGACTCACCGCCTGATCCCGAAATTGGATCCATGGGTCAAACACAAACACACGGAGAAGTCAACTACTATCTCACACAGATGCTCTCAGGACACGGGTGCTTCTGGCAATATCTTCATAGGTTCAAATATAAGGAGTCGCCGGAGTGCACGGCCTGCACAGGAGTCTCTGAAGATGTGGAGCATGCGTTCTTCGTGTGTCCGAGCTTCAACGGGCCCAGCAGCACACTCGAGACTGCACTTGGAGAGGATTCAGCCTGATAACCTGGTGGAGGCAATGCTTTCATCAGAGGCAGCCTGGGAGGCAACCAGCGCCTTCGCAGCGGAAATCCTAAAGGACCTACGCAAGGCGGAATAAGGGAGAAAAAGAGATAAGAGGAAGGGCAAGCAATAAAATGAAAGAAGCGCTGACGTCGATCGGTCGAAGGAAGAGCTACCGCTAAATCCTCCCCCCGTGCTGTAATGCCTAGCGGCGGTTCCACGGGGAAATAGGAGGCAGGTGATAGTGGTATGTTTTTAGCCCGTATTGGTTGCACATTTGCCGAGCTACATCAACACAGATCCCACCAAACTTGGCAGCTCGTGGTCGCCACCATCCAGACCAGACCGAGTCGGGCACTACATTCTCGGAATTTACAAACCCAAGCGTATGCGTAAATGCATTTTTCCCCTTAAAAAAAATCTCTCTCTATTCATTCTCTGGAGACATTGTTGACAATATCCACACTTGTACCGGTTCAACTTTCTCGATTTTTTATAAAACGTATTTATAAAAATGATGTTGTCATTGGACCCTCATTCCTCAATAATCATAAAAAATATTTTTTTAACCACGATTGCACCAATGCGAGATTAATCTAAATAAAAAACATTGAGTTTAATCCGCGCCTGATGTCCAAGGTCGGGTCAAGCTTGAATTGCCTTTACCAATGAAGGGTTAACTGAGATTGGTCGAAACTTGTAGTTTAAGCTTGAACCGAACTTGATAACAAAGCTTGAATCAAGCTTGAAGACCGAGCTTGCATCAAGCTTGATCTCTAAGCTTAGGTGACACTTAGATCAAGCTTGAACTAGCGTTACAAATCAAGCATTAACCAAGATTGGGTGAAGCTTGTAGTTCAAGCTCGAACCGACCTTGATGTGAAAGCCTGGAGCAAACTTGAAGTTCAAACTTCAGTCAAGCTTGATCTCTAAGCTTGGGTGACGCTTAGATCAAAGTTGGTCCAAGCTTGGAGGCCGAGCGTGATCCAAACTTGGACCAACCTTGGCATCCAAGTTTGAACTAGCATTACAAATGAAGGCCTAACCAAGATTGGTCCAAGATTGGGGACCAAGATTGAACCAAGCTAGCCTACTCTTGGTCCAAGCTTGGATCAAGCTTGCACCGATGGTCAATCCCCACCTATAGGCCCGGTTGCACCAGCTCCGGGTAACGAAAACGTCAGATAAGAAAAAAAGTAAATTTGGATGTTCAATCGATCATTTTACCCGGGAGAGTATCTCAAATTTATCCCAGGAACAAAAAAAAATTTAATCTCAAAGTTAAATCAGTTTTAATTCAAATGGTAGCCCCAGGATAAATGAAAAATTATTCTTCGGGTCAAATATTGAAAAATTATGACCTCTACGATATAATTGACCCCGAGGATAAATTTTACCCTGGCGTTTATTTGGATAACAGGGCTTAGTTTAACCGGGCCCTAGTCTCTTTCTTTCCAGTCGATGTAGTTTTTTGCTGTCTGGAAGTGTCTATTCACACGGTTCACGGTAATTTTTACCGTGGATATACGGAATTTTCGCAATACATCTTTGGTTAGTGACTCATCTCTGAAGAGATTTCAGAGTTCAGAGAGCGCCCGAAAATCCCCCCCCCCCGCTGTCCACGCAAAACGCAAAACAATCAACTCTGAACGCTGAAGAGATGTCAGAGTCCAGAGAGCGCCCGAAAATCCCCCCCCCCTGTCCGCCCAAAACGTAAAACAATCAACTCTGAACTCTGAAGGTATGTCAGAGTTCAGAGAGTGCCCGAAAATCTCCCCTCTTTCCGTCCCAAACCCCCCTTTCATCGCTCCAAACTCAAAAACCTCAATTCTAAACTCTGAAGAGATGGCAGAGTTCAGAAAGCACCCGAAAATCCCCTCTTTTAGCCCCAAATTCACAAAAGTCAACTCTGAACTCTGAAGAGATGTCAGAATCCAGAGAGCGCCTGAAAATCCCTCCCTTATCCGCCTTAAACGAAAAAAACTCAACTCGGAACTCTGAAAAGATAGAGTTCAGAGAGCGCCCGAAAATCCACCCCCCCCCCGTACCCTACTAAACCTGCCGTGCCTGCGCCAAAGCCCTAATTTGCCGCCCCAAGCCCATAAAACGCAACTCTGAACTCTTAAGTGTCTTTAGAGCTCAGAGAGCATCTAAAAACCCCAACTCTGACCCAACTCTGAACTTTCTCTGAACTGCTGAAAATATTTCAGTCTGACAAAACTCTGAACCAACTTTGAACATGGTCCGTTAGAGATTTCCCAAAAAATTTCTAGGAAGTCCTTGAATTCCCTCGAAATTGGTAGGAATTCTGTATTTCCCTCGAAATTTCGAGAATTTTTGGGAAAACCCAGAATTTTTTAGAATTTTGATAAACGGCGCTAAATCATGAAGACTGCATAATGATGATTTTTTCTCGAAATGACCCCTCATAAAGAAAACAAACGTATCCACATAAAAAATAGGAGGAGGGGGGGGGTCAATTTTATCCTCTCCTTCTTTGAAAAAGTAGGGGTCTATTTTACTCCCTCCTCCCCTAATGTATGTTCAAAATAAGTTTTCTAACGTACGTTGATAAAAAAATCTCATCTCCACAGCAGAATTGTTCTTTTTGATCATATCAAAAGGAATTACCGTGGATTTAGGGTGTGTGTGCATAAGCCCTGCAATTCTCGGTCTTAAATCCACGGTAAGACTAACCAAAGATGCACTGTAAGAATTCCGTATATACACGGTACAAATCACTAGAGCCTGAAGAAACTCACTAGAGGCTTCAAATTGCTCTTTTCAACAATATATACACGGTAAAATTAGAGTAGATCCACGGGAAAATCTCCTGTATATACAGGGTAAAAATTACCGTGGACTGCCTGTTGCGGTCAGACTGATATGTGTGTCTTTGGTTTTGAGAGGTGGGAGACAGGGATGTAAGTGGTAATTGTGTAAAGTGTGAGTAACTCTTAGGGGCACAACCTCCCCAGTTCTACTACATATACGTTAGCCAACATCCCCCTCCACGACCCCCAAAACCGTTTTCATTTTTTTCCGTACATATTTCAAACCGCAGCACATTCTGAATTATACTTTTTCTATATAATGTTGCTATAAGCCATCCATTGCAATTTTTGCTTCCGAATGGAAGCTTTGCAATCCTTCGATTTTTACATTTCCTAATTTTCATTGGAACTAATGTAGAATAGTATAAAACGTAAAAATACGAAGTTTGACGACCATGTCTGTATGTTCCCCTTCCCTCTGCGCCACTTTTAGGAAATTATGTTTTAGAAAATCGTTTCATAAATTGACTAAAAAAATTTCGAAAAATCTACAATTTTGTCAGAGTATAGGTCCCTACTAGGACTAACTCTGTGCACAAGATCAGCTCGATCGGTCCAATAGTTCCTGAGAAAAAGCGATTTGTTTTTAAATCGTTTTTCGCGAATTTCTCCGAAACTAGTGAACCGATTTCATTTTTTTTTCAAAATATTCGTCCTAATGTCTCCTATCTAGATCAATGAAAACCTATAGACCCGTCCCTGCTGTGGTAAACGAGAGTTTACCGACATAACGAAATGTAGAAAATGAGAGTATCGATGAGTATTAAGGTGGAGAGAAAGTAGATAAGTGGGGATAAATTTGGGTATCACAAAATGTAATGAAGCGATTGAACTCATTCTAGAATAGTGTTGAGGCAATAGCCTCATACCGCATCTGACCAAGGGGTGGCAGCACCTCCTTGATTAGCTCTGCCTGACCGGCCGCGCTCCAAGCAGCAGCTAACAGCAGCAAAAGCAGGAAAAGTCAATAAATGAGAATAATATAATTAACTTTCCTTTGAGAAGGTCTAGTAGATGTAGAGATGCTCCAAATACAGCAGAGAGGTTCCGTCGGCAAAGCTGTAGGCCTAAAAACCACGTGTCGTGCGTCAAAATGGCCGGTCCTGTCAACTGAGGGTGTGGCCTGGTGGGTGGAGTCTTGTAGACGTCGAGATGGGCGGAACGGAGGGCGGCACGGTGGGTGGAGCAATCGAGTCTTGGCGTCCCCGGACTTTAACCCACGTTTTACCCAGAACGCATTTAGCACAATTGTTT